TTCTGCCTTCTCTCCAGCCTTGCCCTCTCTTGCAGTTTTACGTCATAGAGTACGCGGCTTGCGACGCCATCTACAACGAAATTGTCACCTTGGAGCGATTGCGGCCCGTCAACCCCAGCAAAGTGGCCACCAAGTGCAGCTTCTTCAAAGTCACCATTGCGGTCCCGGAAGACCTCAAGGAGGCGTGAGTGTCCTTGGCAGGAATTGCGTGTCCATCTGTCAGCCCAACCTGGGCCTTTTTACAACGCTTTGTAGCCCTCGACTCAAAACTTGGGACTCTGCTGGGACTTGGAGAGAACCCCCCAGCTGTTGATCCTTTCCCAGGAAGGAGAGTGGGAAAGGGGAGGGTGGACCCCACAAACCTGGGATAGTGGCAGTACTCTTCCACCCACGTTGGCTCCTGGGCTTTAGAACGGAGGTGTTCCGACCTTGGCAAACTTAAAATTTGTGGACTTCATCTCCCAGAATTCCCCGGCCAGCAAATGTTTTGACAACATTCAGCATGCTTAGGACAAGGACAGTTGTGGCTATAGACTAGGGCTTTTCAACCTTTTTCACCCTTTGTGCCACTTTTAGGATATAGCAATATCCAAGTACCACCAGTCGCCTAACAAGGTGTCAAAAACTTGATAATCAAAAAAAAAAAGAAAGAAAGATAGTGATAAAGTACAGGTAGGCCTCGACTTACAAGAGTTCGCTTAATGACTGTTCGAAGTTACAATGGCACTGAAAAAAGGGCCCCCCAAGCCACAGCCGAGCAAGACACCTGCCTGCCCGCCCAGCTGCGTTCTTCCTCCTGTCCGAGGTTTCCATTGTTGTGAGCATTTCAGTTAAGGATTGGCAGCGGGGGTGGGGTGGGGGGCTGTTTGGTTTTTATTCCCCCCCCCCCGTCTGCTGGGTAGTTGCAGCAGGTTTTGGTCCCTTCACATGACCCTGGGACACTGCGACCGTCATAAATATGAATCAGTGGCCAAGCTTCTGAATATAAATCATAAGACCCTGGAGATGCTGCAACATTCCAGCTGATCGGCGCTTCTTCTGGGCTCAGCAGAAGCACCAGGATCAGTGCTGAGCTCCAGCTGGAGCCTGGCACTGATCCTAGCACTTCCACTGAGCCCCTGACAGTCCCAAAGAAGCGCCGATCAGCTGGAAAGCGGCACTGATCCTGGTGCTTCCGCTGAGCCCTGACAACCCTGCAGCTCCAGCCGTCTCGCTCAGGCTTGTGCGGTGCTGCCACCGGTTCAGCTCATTCCCCTCCCCCACTACCACTTTTCTAGGATGCTCACGTACCACCTGCCAGGTGCCAATGTACCACAGGTGGTACCCGTACCACTGGTTGAAAAGCCCTGCTATAGACTACTTTTAACACCTTTTTTGGTAACTGTCTTAATAGATAAATGATTTTCTCAATAGACGGTGGGAACGCGGTAGACGTAATATATCTTGACTTCGGCCAAGTGAAAAAAGAGCTGGCTGGGGAACTCTTCAAGTGGCCAAGGTTGGATAGTCCTCCTTTGGAAGCCACAGCTGCTTCTGCTGCTGCTACTTCCAACGCGTCGGTTGTCTGAATTGTGCTAACGCCTTCCCTTTCCCCCTCACAGCTGCTCCAACGAAAACGTGCACAAGGAATTCAAGAAGGCGGTGGGTGCCAACTGCATCTTCCTAAGTACCACCAGCAGCGAACTCATCATCCTTGTAAGAAGCTGCCCTTTGAGGGCTCTCTGCGTTGTGTGTGTGTGTGTGTGTGTGTCTTAACAGACAGGCTGGGGCAGGGGTGGGGAACCGTGGCTCTTTTAGGACTCGTGGACTTCAACTCCCAGAATTCCTCAGCCAGCATGGGAGAACTGTGGCTCCCTTGATGACTGGTGGACTTCAACTCCCAGAATTCCTCAGCCAGCATGGGGGAACTATGGCTCCCTTGATGACTGGTGGACTTCAACTCCCAGAATTCCTCAGCCAGCATGGGGGAACTATGGCTCCCTTGATGACTGGTGGAGTTCAACTCCCAGAATTCCTCAGCCAGCATGGGAGAACTATGACTCCCTTGATGACTGGTGGACTTCAACTCCCAGAATTCCTGAGCCAGCATGGGGGAACTGTGGCCCCCTCATGACTCGTGGACTTCAACTCCCAGAATTCCTGAGCCAGCATGGCTCAGCTTGGAAACCTCTCCCTGTCCCCTCAGCATGGCTGGCTCAGGAATTCTGGGAGTTGAACTCCACCAGTCATAAAAGAGCCGAGGTTCCCCACCCCTGGGCTGGGGTATCTAGAGTAATGATGTGGTATCACCTCGTCCTATAAGAAACGTAAGGCCAGGTAGTCCTCGGCTTACGACCACGATGGGGCCTGGAATTTCCATTCCTAAGCAGAGCGATGGTCAAGTGAGTCAACGACCAATTTGGCGACGTTTTTCCCCTGGTTGTTAAGTGAACCATGCTCTCGTTAAATGAGTCCAGCTTCCCCTTTTGATCTTGCTGGTCAGAGAGTGGCTGGGAAAGTTGCGATGGGTGGGTCACATGACCCTGGGTTGCTGCCCCCACCCGTAAGTACACGCCAAGCCCCCCAATTTTGATCACGTGACCACAGAGATGCTGTTGTGGTCGCAAGTGTGAGCCATAAGTCACCTTTTTCAGCACTGTCGTAACTTGGGACACTCAGTACGCAAGTAGTTGTGAGTCAAGGACTCCCCTAGTGTGGTTCTTGGCTGCCCTCTTGTGGCCACCTCTGGAAAGGCCGTTCAATTCGGAGAGCGCCTGCTCAGCCTTCCTAAAATCCCTCAGTTGCTCTTTGTGAGCGACGTCCATTTTTTATCCACATTCGTGAAGAATTTGCACCGAGAACATCCTGGATTGTCGTTAGGTGTCAGAATAATAGAACAACGTAGTTGGGAGGGACCTTGGAGGTCTTCTAGTCCAGCCCCCTACTCAAGGAGGAGACTCTATCCCATTTTAGACAGATGGTTGTCCAATAATCTCTTCTTGAAAACCTCCAGTGATGGAGCGCCCACGACTTCTGGTGGCAAGCTGTTCCACTGATTAATTGTCTTCACTGTCAGGAAGTTTCTCCTTAATTCCAGGTTGCTTCTTTCCTTGATTAATTTCCATCCGTTGCTTCTTGTCCTGCCTTCAGGGGCTTTGGAGAATAGGGGGACCCCCCTCTTCTTTGGGGCAGCCCCTGAGATATTGGAACATGGCTATCGTGTCACCCCTCGTCCTTCTTTTCATTAGAGTAGAGTAGAGTAGAGTAGAATAGAATAGAATAGAATAGAATAGAATAGAATAGAATAGAATAGAATAGAAAGCTGGAGGGGACCTTGAAGGTCTTCTAGTCCAGCCCCCTGCTCAAGCAGGAGAACCTATACCATCTCAGACAAGTGACTAGCTTCTTCTTAAAAACCTCCAATGATGGAGCACCCACGATTTCTGGTGGCAAGCTGTTCCCCTGGTTAATTGTCCTCCCTGTTGGGAAGTTTCTCCTTAATTCCAGGTTGCTTCTCTCCTTGGTCAGTTTCCATCCGTTGCTTGTTTTGATTCCGCTGGTTAATTGTTCTGATTGCCAGGAAATGTCTCCTTAGTTCTAGCTTGGTTCTCTCCTTGAAGCCTCTAGTTAGGGTCTAGTTAGCTAAATATATTGAACGTAAAATTATTGTTTTTTCTAAACCGCGCTCTCTCGAACTCGGCTGACGCTTTTACGCAGATAGCCCAGCCGCTTGCCCATCTGCCACGTTAGCTAGAGAGCCAGAATCACGGAGGGATCCTTGGCTGGAGCTGCCTTTTTTGACCAGATTGGGGGGGGGGTTTGGTCTCTCTCTCTGGCTTCCCCCCCTCCCACTTCTCTCTCTCTCTCTCTCTAGTCCACGAACGAGTCCACGGTCAAGAGGGCGTCTCTGCTGGGCGACATGCACCTGCGCAGCATCCGGACGAAGCTCATGCTGATGTCCCGCAACGAGGAGGCCAACAAACACTTGGAGGTCAGGGATGGCGGGGAGGAAAAAAGCAGTGGGCGGAGCAGCTGGGCCCATGGTGTGTGTGTCTTTGTGTGTCCGTCCCTTGGCTGAAGCCTCGGAGGCGTCTGTGTTTCTGTGCCAGCCAGACCCCGAATTCTGTTTCATGTCTATGTATATGTAGGGGTGTGGGTCTATACATAGGTTGTATATAGTAATAATAGCAATAATAATAATAATTGTTGTTGTTGTTGTTGTTGTTGTTGTTATTATTATTATTATTATTATTATTATTATTATTATTATTATTATTATTATTATTGAGTTGGAAGGGACTTTGGAGGTCACCTAGTCCAACCCCCTGCTCAGGCAGGAAACCCTACGTCATTAAAAACTTCCAGTGCTGGAGAAGGGAGGGAGGGAAGGAAGGAAGGAAGGAAGGAAGAAAGAATAACAGAATAACAGACTCAGAAGGGACCTTGGAGGTCATCTAGTCCAACCCCCTGCTCAGATAGGAAACCCTATACCATTTCAGACAAATGGCTGTCGAGTCTCTTCTTAAAAACTTCCAGTGTTGAGGGAGGGAAGGAAGGAAGGAAAAAAAGAATAACAGAATAAGAGACTCGGAAGAGACCTTGGAGGTCATCTAGTCCAACCCCCTGCTCAGGCAGGAAACCCTATACCATTTCGGACAAATGGCTGTCCAGTCTCTTCTTAAAGACTTCCGGTGTTGGAGCATTCACCGCTTCTGGAGGCAGGTGGTTCCACTGGTTAATTGTTCTCACTGTCAGGAAGTTTCTCCTTCCTAGTATGTTTGTTTGTGTGTCGTGTGTGTGTTTCAGTTTGTTTCATTTTTGAGGTGTGCCGTTGTGCCCACAGTTAAAAAAAAATGACAATAAAGGTTATCTTATCAAGGGACAGCCCCCCCTTGTCTTTTGATCCAGTCCCTCTGCGCTGCCGGTGGGAGGGAGGGTGAGAGGGAGGGAGGGAGGGGAAGGGTGGTGGTGGGGGGTTTCAGGCCATTTGGAAGCCCCCCCCCGTGTCCCATCGGACCCCTCCCTCCCTCCCTGCAGACGAGCAAGCAGCTGGCCTCGGCCTTCCAGGAGGAGTTCACGGTGCGGGAGGACCTGATGGGCCTGGCCATCGGCACCCACGGCGCCAACATCCAGCAGGCCCGCAAAGTGACGGGCGTCACGGCCATCGAGCTGGACGAGGAGACCTGCACCTTTCGCATCTACGGGGAGGTGAGGAGCCCACTCTCGGGCTGTGGTGTGTGTGTGTGTTTTGTGTGTGTGTGTGTGTGTGTTTGGGGCAGTCGGGCCCTTTGACACCCTCTTCCACCTAGCAGGGCCTGGCTATCTCCCTCGCCCACTCCAGAGCCAGGAGAGCCGTGCTGGGGGGCGGGCATCAAATAACCAGGGTGATTTGGGTGGCCAAGCTCAAAAGACACCCCAAGAAGCCAACATCTGGAGCTGACCTTCCACAGCAGCTTCGGCCTTAAAAGAGTTTTTCTTTTTTAAACAAAAAACAAAAAAAAATACGACGATACGGCCACAGCGGAGCCCGAAATTTCCTTTGGCTAACCCCAGACCTTTGCTGAGCGAATTTCTGCCCCCGTTTTACGACTTTTCAACCCACCGTTAAGTGAATCGCCGCGGTTGTAAAGTCAGCGACGCGGTCGTTAAAACCCGGCCTTCCCACTTTGACTTTGTTCGTCAGAAGGCTGCCTAAGGGGGATCGCATGACACACACACACCCCTGTGGGACACCGCCACGGTCGTAACTACGAGTCCATTGGCCAGGCATCCAAATTTTGATCCCGTGACTACGGGGACAGCACAGCGGTCGTTAATTGTCCGAAAACGGGCTATAAGTCACTTTTTTGAGCGCTGTTGTAGCTTTGGACGGTCACTAAATGAGCGGTGGGAAGCCTAGGACGGCCTGTCCGTCTTTGCCCCTCTGCTCCGACAGCAGCCCAGAGGACGGACGGCTCCTGGGTTGAAGGGGGAGGAGGGGAGGGAGGGGCTGGGGTGCCCAGAGGGGCTTCTGGGCCGCCCACACCCTGTGTGCGGCGCGTCCGTGGCACTTGGCGTCGTAAGACCGAGTCCGTGGCCTTCCGTTTTGCCCTTAGACCCCCGAAGCCTGCAAGCAGGCCAGGAGCTTCCTGGAGTTTTCGGAGGATTCGGTCCAGGTGCCCCGGAATCTGGTCGGTGAGTGAGGCTGGGCCGTCGTGCGGGGTCCCCCTTTCCCTCACTCCCCCCCCGAAAAATATTTGCTTGATGGGCGGCACCAGCTGGCCACTTGGGGCTCCTTAGGGGCAGAACCCCCCCTGAGGCTGGCCGTGGGGGGTTCTGGGAGTTGAAGTCCACAAGCCTTAAAGGGGCCGAGGTGGGAGACCCCTAGGCCTTAGGGGCGCAGAGGTGCTGTCAAGCCTCTGTGATTGTGGCGCCGTTATGTCCCAGTGGGGCAACCGAGGCAGCCCTGCTCGTTTGGCCACGCCAGGCGTCCGGGCGCTGCGATCTCCTCCCCCCCCCAACAGCCCCACTTCCTCCCTCCCTCCCTCCCTCTGCAGGAAAAGTGATCGGCAAGAACGGGAAGGTCATCCAGGAGATCGTGGACAAGTCGGGCGTGGTCCGAGTGCGGGTGGAAGGGGACAACGACAAGAAGAATCCCCGGGAGGAGGTGCGTCCACGAGGCGGTCAGCCAATCTGCCCCCCCCCCGCTTCCCTCAGCCCCCCTTTTGGAATGGGGAGGGTCCCTGTGAGTGCTTTCCTGGCTCAGGGTTGGGCTGTGGGGTCCTCGACGCTTGCCGGCCTTCCGTGGCCCAACGAGGTGACACCGTCACGATGAGTGCGCTGAAGATGTCCCCTCCGTGGGCCCTGAGATGCCTGCAAGGAGACCAGCCACAGTCCTCCCTCTCCCCCTCCCCTCTGCAGACCCCCCTCCCTTCTAGCACTGATGATGTTACCTAGTTGGGTGATGAAATGTCTGCAAGAAAACCACCCAGCTCAGAGACCCCCAAGGACCCCACAGTTGTCATTCTCCTCCTCCTCCCTCCCTCCCTCCCAGTCTTCAAACTTCCCTCCCTCCGAGCACTGATGACGTTACCTATTTGCGCCATGAAACGTCCGCAAGCACGGAGAGCCCCAAGGACCCCAGGGCCATTTCTGCCCCCCTTTCCCAGGAGCCTTTTGGTGCCTGTGTCCATCCAGGCCCTGGAGGGGCCTCCCACCTCGGCTGCCCTTCCCCTTCCAGGCCCTCCCACCCCGGGGACCTGGCTCTTTTCCTTCCCACGTGGGGCAGCTTCTTGGGTTGGGGGCACGAGGCGTCCCGGCTGCTCTGCCGACCCTTGAACCCCCGTCCCCCTCCGGGCGTCCCCTCCCCTTCCCTTGTTGCCCACCTGCACGCGCTTTGCCTCCTTTTTCTTCTTCTCCTTTTTCTACGTCCTCCACAAACGAGGCAGCCTCGCTGGGACCTGAAGGGGGGGCCTCTGCTGCTCCCCCCACCCCAGACCCCCGGTCCTGGGGCCGAGGGGCCTGGCCCTGGCCCCCCTCTTCCCTCCTCTTCCTCCCTCCTCCCTGCAGGGCATGGTCCCTTTCATCTTCGTGGGCACGCGGGAGAACATCAGCAACGCCCAGGCCCTGCTGGAGTACCACCTCTCCTACCTCCAGGTAAGGACGGACACACACACACACCCATTGCCCAGTTCTCGGGGGCCAGGGGGTTTCTCTGGGGCTCCCCCCCATCCCTCAGGTGCCTTTCCCCCCCCTACTTTGAGCACCTGGTGGCAGCCTTTCCCCAGCCCTCTTCTTCCTCCTCCTCCCCCCCCCCCCGGCAGGAAGTGGAGCAGCTGCGCCTGGAGAGGATGCAGATCGACGAGCAGCTGCGTCAGATCGGCCTGGGCTTCCGGCCTCTCTCCGGCCGCCCGGAGAAAGAGCGGGGGGGCTACACCACGGACGAGAGCAGCTCCTCCCTGCACAGCACCCGGACTTACGGCGGCAGCTACGGCGGGCGCGGCCGTGGGCGCAGGGGCCCCAATCCTGGCTACGGTGAGTCCGGGCGTCGTGCGGCAGCGGACGGAAGGGGGAGTTGTCCTCCGGAGCCCGCGTGGGAGCCAGGACCCCCCATTTCTTTCCCTTCTCCCGCCCCAGCCACCAACTCGGACGCCTCCAACGCCTCTGAGACGGAGTCGGAGAAGAGGGAGGACTATGAGGGCCCGCCCCCCAGCGACCGGGACCCTCGCCTGGAGGACGGCCGTCGGCGGCCAGGGGCAGGGCGGGGCCGGGGGCCTGCTCCAGCCCCCCGTGGGGGCGGCAGCAAGCACAGCACCTCCTCCATCAGCTCAGGTACGGGCCGGCCCGGGGGCGGAAGAGGCAGCCCTCGGCTCTTCCCGGGGCCTGGAGGGGGCGTCCGGTCGGGTGGGGGGTAGGGGTCTGGAGGAATCCACCTCTGCCTGCCCCACAGCCGGAGGAGGGTCTTGCCTGCCAACCGGCCCTTCCTCTCCACAGTCTTGAGGGACCCGGACAGCAACCCCTACAGCCTGCTGGAGAACACCGAGGCTGAGCAGGCCGGGGACACCGATGCCAGCGAGTCCCAGCCGCTCAGCAACCGCCGGCGCCGCTCGCGACGACGTCGCACCGACGACGACACCACCGTCATGGACGGGGCTCTGGAGTCCGACAGCACGTCCGTCAACGAGAACGGCACGGGTGAGCGGGGCGCCTCGTCCCCACACCCCCACACACCCCCCCTCAGAGGAGGAGGAGGAAAACAGCCTGGCTGGCCTTCTGGGTGTGGGGCTCCTCTTTAGGTCCCCCCCCTCTCCCCATGGCCCCCACGGCTCCCAGGAAGAACCGGGCAGGAGGAGCGCGCGAAACGTCCCCTCCCTCTGAAGACCCCCCCTCCCCGTTTCTTCTTCACCAGAGGAGGAGTCGAAGCCGCAAAGACGCAACCGAAGCAGACGCCGCCGTAACCGTGGAAACCGCGTGGACAGCTCCATCAGTCGGGACCGCCAGCCGGGTAAGAGCCCGCGGCACAACGGGTGATCCTTGACACTCAGAACGGTTCGTTTAGTATTCAGACGCTTGGCGCGTGACTCGCGGGGTCCAAGGATCCTTTTTTGTGACGAGCAAAGCCCTCGGGGGGAGCCCTTAACCGTGTTACTGAATTAACCACTGCAGGGATTCACTTAATGGATGTGGCAAGGACGGTCGCAAAACGGGACAATATTCCCAACTTGTCTCAGTGGCGTAAATTCCGGGCTGCGTTGTGGCCGCCAGCCAAGGACGACCTCCGACTGCTGGGGGCCCAGCTGGGCACGGGGCCGGGGTCCCTGCCGAAAGCACACACCCCCTGGCTCTCCTGACGCCCCCTCCTCTCTCTCTCTCTCCCCTCCGCAGTGACGGTTGCAGATTATATCTCCCGAGCCGAGTCCCAGAGCCGCCAGGGCCCACCCCGCAGAGAGAGTCAGGAGAAGGCCCCCGCCGAGGGCAGCCTGCCCAAGCCGAAGGTAGGGGGATCTGGAGGGGGGTGGTGGAGGAGGAGGGTCCCAGGGTCCCGGTTTCTGGCGAGGGGGGTCCGAGGCAGAGAGGCCGGCGTGGCCAAAGCCCCCCTGTCCTCTCCTCCCCTTCTTCCAGGCAGAGGCAAGCAGCAAGTTGGTCAACGGCCCTTCGGAGAACGGGGAGCACAGCGCCACGGCCGGGGCGGAGGTGGAGGTGACCCCCCTGGTCAACGGGGTGTCCTAAGGGCCCCCCCCGGGGCCGCCCACCGAGCCCTCCTCTTCCTCCTCTCCAACCCCTACTTTCCACCTGCTTGCAACAACATCTTCAAGAGAAGCGAAATAAACACCACACACCGATCTCGTTAAAAGGGCGAGAACCATGGTTTCCAACAAACCACCACCCCCTGCCCCCCCCCTCCCCAGGTAATTTCAAAGCTTGCCAAAGATGGGAAAACTTCTTTAAAAACCGCATCCTGGTTTAAGCTTGGGCGATGGCGGCCAGCCGGCCAGGGAGCGAACCCCCCCCCCTCCTCCTTTGTCTCTGCCCTCTTAAGTGTGTAAAAGGGAGGGGGGGTCTGAGGCTACTTGAGCTCGTCACCCCCCCCCAGAGGTGCTGACAGGAGGGGGGGGCGGAGGGGCAGGTGAAAATACGACGACTTTCATGCATCTGGGGCTTCTTTTTTTTTGTGACTTTAAAAAGAAAAGGTGTTTTTTTTTTTCCGTTTTGAAACTAATGTGAGAAAAAAATAAATAAATAACCGGCTATTCAAACTGGGGAAGGAATTGGGGGCGGGGGGGAAGCAATCTGTGCCTTCTGATAACGCAAACACACACACACACACATGCAGAGACACACAAACACAAAAGCGGAGTGCTTTGTTTTTTTTTTTTTTCTTCTTCGAGTTAAGTCAAACCGAGGGCCGGGTTCGGGTCTTGCTCCCCCCCTCCTATGGGGGGGGGGTTCCAAGCTGAGAAGGGGGAGGCAGCCCTGCCCGGCTAGGGAGGAATTTTGGGGGGGGGGCAAGCGGCCTGCAGCCTGGCCCGCCCTCCCCCCCCCTTCCCCCTGTTTTTCTTTTCCTTTCCTGAGAAACACTGTGCGAGAGAAGAGCGGCCGGCCGGGCTGGGGGAGCCGCCCGGCCCGGCGGTCTCTTGAGTTTGTGTGTTTGTGGGGTGGGGAAAATGGGGGGGGGGACTTGATCTGTGACGGTTGAGACTATTTATTTTTCACTGTACAGTATTTAAAAAGAGAATAAAAAAAACAAAAACAAAACCCCAACTCTTTGGGGGAAAAAAACAAAAAGAGAGAGAGAGTGAGAGCTCTCCCTGATTGTCTTCTGTTCCTGGCTTTTCGGTGGGGAGAAGCAAGAAAAAAAAGAGAGAGTGAGAGCAACTCTCCCACCGATTGTCTTCTGTTCCTGGCGTTGCTTCTGTCTTGTGGGGAAGGGGCTCACCAGGTCCTGGGAGGGGGGGGACTTGGAGCCTGCAGCCCCCCCCCCCCCATTAAAAGGGTTGCTGGCTGATCAAAGCCCAGCTGAGTCTCCCCGGAGGGAGGGGAAAGGGCGATGTGGCAGAGGGGAATGAAGCCTGCAGGGCCAATGAGGCATTTTAGCCTTGAGAAAAGCAGATTTATTTCTTTTTCATTTGGGGGGGGGGGCGATGTACCTAAAGGGGAGGGTCTCCTGAGAGGCTGAGAGCCCCTTTTGTCCCTGTGACACCAAAGGGCCTCAATCAATCAGAATAGAGGCGGAAGGGACCTTGGACGTCTTCTAGTCTAACCCCCTGGTCAAGGCAGGAGACCTTACACCAGGGGTAGGCAACTTTGGCTCTTTTATGACTGGTGGACTTCAACTCCCAGAATTCAGCTGGCTCAGGAATTCTGGGAGTTGAAGTTCCACCAGTCATAAAAGAGCCAAAGTTGCCTACCCCTGCTTTATACCATCCTGGTCAAATGGTTGTTCAGTCTCTTCTTGAAAACCTCCAGTGATGGAGCGCCCACGATTTCTGGTGGCCAGCTGTTCCACTGGTCAATTGTCCTCACTGTTAGGGAAGTTTCTCCTTAATTCCAGGTTGCTTCTCTCCTTGATCAGTTTCCAACCATTGTTTCTCGTCCTTCCCTCTGGTGCTTTGGAGAATAGCTTGACACCCGTCCTCCCAGCCCAACCGGCGACGGGCGAGGTCCTCCTCCGTTGACTCTCCCCCCGGACATTAATGATGATAAGGTCGGAAGGGACCTCGGAGGTCATCTAGTCCAACCCCCTGCTCAGGCAGGAAACCCTACACTATTTCAGACAAACGGCCGTCCAGTCTCTTAAATACTTCCAGTGATGAAGCACCCACAATTTGTGGTGGCAAGCAGTTCCGCTGGTGAATTGTCCTCAGTATTAGGAAGTTTCTCCTTAGTTCCAGGTTGCTTCTCTCCTGGGTGAGTTTCCATCCGTTGCTTCTTGCCCTGCCCTCCTCAGGGACTTTGGAGAGGTGGGGTCCCTTCCATGGACCTGTGAAAACAGGCTGGACAACCACCTTGGAGGAGGTGCTTGAGCAGGAGGGGGGTGGTCTGCATGGCCTCAAGGGGCACCACCCCTCATTTGGGAGGAAGGGAAAGCAAGTTTCATATCATTCACACAATGGGGGGGGGGCGGTGAGAGTCAGAATAGGAATCCACCCTCCCCTGCTAGCCTTTCCCTCCTCCCGGTGGCATCTCTGGGCAGGAGGAAGGGAGACCAACAGGTGAAGCTCCAGCCCTTTCTGAGAAAGGAATTTTGGGGAAACCTCTCGGGCCCCTTCCTCGTTCAAAGGAAGATGAGGGAACACATTCAGACGTGCCAGATTGGCTCAGGGTTCGAATCTCCCGGGGGAAGATCAATGTTGCCAGGAAAGTCAAAATATTTGGCCTGATTGGGTTGAAGGAATCCGGAGCGTGCCACCCAGGCCGGATCGGATCAGTTGGGCAAATGGATCAGGTTGGCTGGGGTTAGTAAGCAGTCACTGTCTTCAGAGGCAGAAGGTGACACACATTTTGGGGTACCCCCTGGTGCTCTGGGCAAGGTGCAAAATGGTCAGGATGTGGCTAGTCCTCAATTCGGGGTTTGTGTGTGAAAAATCATTTTATCGGGTACGATGCATTCAAAGGATAAAAGTTTGCCCGCTGCTCTAACAGATGTTTGCTAACCTTGAGAGCTTTAAGATGGGTGGACGTCAACTCCCAGCATTCCCTACCTCCCAGGGAATGCTGGGAGATGAAGTCCACCCATCTTAAAAGCACCAGAGTTGAAAACCCATAAGGGTGTCTTTTAGCTTTTCAGGGTCTGGCAGGTAATAGAGCAGGGGTCTTCAAACATGGCCCTTTGATGACTTGTGGACTTCAACTCCCAGAATTCCTCAGGCAGGCATGCTGCCTGAGGAATTCTGGGAGTTGAAGTCCACAAGTCATCAAAGGGTCCTAGTTCCCTCACGCTGGCTGAGGAATTCTGGGAGTTGAAGTCCACAAGTCATCAAAGGGTCCTAGTTCCCTCACGCTGGCTGAGGAATTCTGGGAGTTGAAGTCCACAGGTCATGAAAAGGGTCACAGTTCCCTCACACTGGCTGAGGAATTCTGGGAGTTGAAGTCCACAAGTCATAAAAGAGTCCTAATTCCCTCACGCTGGCTGAGGAATTCTGGGAGTTGAGTCCACAAGTCATAAAGGAGTCCTAGTTCCCTCATGCTGGCTGAGGAATTCTGGGAGTTGAAGTCCACAAGTTATCAAAGGGTCATAGTGCCCTCACGCTGGCTGAGGAATTCTGGGAGTTGAAGTCCACAA